AGTGACATCTGCCCGAATGTTATCAACTTCACGGACTACTTGACAGAGACTTGGGTTGAAGGTGACCAACAGTAGTGGAACCATTATGATCACGATGGAGCACGTGCGACAAATCGCATGGAAGGCTGGCGCAGCAAACTTAACCGGGTATACAAGCGTGCACATCCAAACATCTTCTCCATGGTGAAACTGGTACAGGAGATCCAATCTACCAACATTGTAAAGATTCTGTAGTATCAGGCGGGAGGGAGACCGAGAGCTGCAGAACAGACTTTATGTACTTAAGGGTAGGCTTCCGAACAACACCATGGACGTGGAATATGATGCTGGTAGTGCTTCACACCTTCTTCATCTGGAGTAGATACCAAAAACCTTGTGGTTTTATAGACATTGACTCAACAGATAATAAATTTGAGGACAGACTAACTAACGTAAGTGTATATTTCAGTTCTACCTTTGTATACACGATTATTATAATGACAACTTTAATCCTTGTAGGAAGTTGAATTTTAGTTATCAGTGGCATTTTGTGGTGTTAAATGGACATAGACTCTTAGAACTGTGTGGCCTACAATTAAAAAATATGTTTAAAGATATTTAGTGCTGTAAGATATTGATCAGAGTGTACATGTTTATTGAACATGTATATTGTAATATCATTCAAGTTTTAAAAAATCATATTCACATTTAATGCTGTTTCTTTGTTAAATAGTATTTTGAAAAGATGTTAAAATATAAGGTTTGATGTTGACCATTGGAATATCTTTGTTGTGATTTACATATATACATCTTAATATATATATTGGTATACTCCAAATAATTCCCCAGGTAAGTTGTTACCGGAGAATCGGTCTCTGTAATTAGTACCATTGTTCTCTCCCGTTACAACATTACCTGTGCTCTATACTAAAATAGGATATGTTGGTTGAGTGGGAAGACATCTGTAAAATAACCCACGAAGGCGTAGTATTCGTCTGCATTTCACCCGGGATGTAGTGAGTGAAGGGTCTGGGAACGGAGAGCTATTCAGTTTAATATTTAGTTCACTTTTCATTTGTACCAAACAGTTTAAGAACACTCTTGTATCTCTCCGTTGGTTATGTAAAACCCACGTTTCTATTAAGTTGATTCTACACATGTATTTGCCGATTTTGGTCGGTTATGTAACAAGCGACCTAGCGGCCTTGAGGTACGCAGTTATTGCATGTAAAGGTAAAAGGTTAAGTAGCTTTGAAGGTCACGAAAAAGAAATTGTGACATTAATGATGATAAGACTGAAGTGATATGTTTAGCCAATGTTAATATATGCGTTGAAACCGTCATCATAGACTAATGAACCTAACAACTATATTCATTTGATTCTACCATATCGAGATTTTTAGAAGAAGTCTTTTGAAATTGAAGTCAATTTGACCCCTTCTGGGACCAACAATCAGCCCTTGAGGGTCAGCCTGGATCAGCATGAGCTTACCATCAAGCTGTGATCCTTTGCTCATAATTCACTGAAAATTAAACAAATTATACTCACAAATGTACTTTTCCTAGATAACCTCATTTGACCCTATATACCTTGAAAGTAGGTCAAGGTCAATCTGAATAAATCTGGTTGCCCTTCATCCAATCTTGTTAAAGAACCATCAACATCTTGTTCAGAAGTAATTTGAATTCTATCACATGAACAAAATTAATAACATTTCATCCCAGCATGTCACAGGACCAATATCAGTATCCTTAGCCTTTTGGTTATTGCGAATAAGTTGTTTAAAGATCTGAACATATTTGACTCATATGACAATGAAAAATGGTCAAAGTCATTAATTTGAACAAACTTAATAGCCCTTAATCCCAGCATTCTACTGTAGTCCGGTGGCAGATACCATCAGGCATGCATCGCGGTCCGTACAAAGATTTTTGCTGTTTTTATATCTCTGATATACGCTCTTTCAAAATCTGTATGATGCCTCTCTGTCATCCTTGTGCAATCCGAACAATATGCAAATGAAGGCCGCCATTACTGAAAATCTTGTTTACATCAATATATCAGTAACAATTAATGGTATCGAAATCATTTTGGTCTCTTTCCCCATGTTTTGAGGGATGAAGAATCAGAATAAGTCATTTCAATGAAGAACGCACCAATTACTTTATGGTGAATAGATATTTTTAGGCAGCCATTACTGGAAATCATTTTTGTCAATATCTCAATAATTACACGTGGTATCAAAATAATTTTCGTGTTCATACCTATGTTCTTAGGGGTAAAGCATCGGATTAGGCCATTCCAGTATTGATAACAACTGCAAAGAATGGACAATCAACTTTAGTGTGTATGTGAATCGTCAAAGAACATTCCAATTATTACTTGTGTTGAAGCATGTTGTCTGTCACCAAACAAGTCAGAAACATTGTCACTGTCATCAACACGTCGGGTGTGCTTATTCGGGCAGTGTACTTCCCCGTGACATACACAAAACATTGTGCACGGCAGGTGATCTTTTTTAGCATCCATACATTGTTGTCAAACATGGATTATCCGTAGCTTAACCACATCTTATCATTTTCCAGCACCTCCGGTGGAGTAAGAATGACGTCTGGTTGCACTGTTACTGGAGTCAAGTATCGGGTACGGTCGTCACGTTTCCATCCGAACTGGACAGGATCCAATGCTGGAGGTTCTGAATCAAGAGCAGACTTCCAAATGACAGTTTGGCTGTGCGCCCGCTTTACATTCTCTTTGAATGCCTCTTGGGAAGGTGGGAGTGACTTGAGCTCTGGAGCCTTTGTTACGTTTTTTTCTGCCCATCCTTCTTGAACAGAACTCTCTCCCCGGGCCTCAGCCATGTTCGACGTGACTGAGTCTCTGACCCCGTAGCATGCAGTCATGAGTGCTGTTATTTTTTAATGATGTCAACCATGTCATCAAATAGTACACCCAATTTCTGCAGTGTTATACCACTCTTGAGAACTTTGATGCTTGGTGCTTTTTCCTATTCCGAAGCACTGAGCGACAGTGTTACAGCCTGAAAGGGCATGTGCGGCTGGTAGTTGTAAGAGCAATTGTCCATATTAATTTACATTGGCCCAAATATCTATAGTAGTTCGTTCACCGCTTGGTCCTTCCATTGTAAGACAACAAGGCAAGTTCAACTAGGCGTAGAAGTGCAGCAGGAGAACAAAAATATCTGTGTCCTCACACACGATGTTGATTCTTCCTACGTCACTTTCCGCCACCTTAACCATCTGATGTACGATTATTACTTCCGCTACTTCGTGGTATGTCATGAGATCGTCTCTGTGAAAGACAATACCATCACGAATTTCAACTGGTGCAGGGTCAACAGTGGTGATGACTAGACTATTCATGCTGCTTGTTCTGTGCTTCCTGAATGAGAATCAGACATATCAGATCTATAACCTGTACCTTATTTTCAGTGACTGTAAGGACTGCTTTCTGAGGTGGCAGTGGAGTATGTAACTGCAGTTTGTGTCGTCGGATTGCTTCGTCACCAGCTCGAGCTGTCCGCGTTCCACTTTTAATGCTGAAGTCGAAGTAGTGATCGAAGATAAGATATGTATCCTGGATTGTTAACTTTTTCATCTCATTCCTCGTGAAGCCTCGACAAAATCTGCCACAGTTCCTTGATTCGGTTTATAACCCAAATGATAGCACATCCATCCAGTATTTCTACCACTTGCTTCTAAATTAGACGATGTGACACAGCCATCTAAGACTGTTGCAACCCTAGTACCCGCGTGAAAATGAGATTCGTGTCATACACATTGTTTTCAACCCTTACTGCCTAGCGATGATTCTGCTCTCAGTTCATTGACTGTCATTTCAATAGCCACGTCCACCTCCTCTTGACTGATACTAGATGCTGCTGAAGCTGACTTCACTGACCGAGATGAACAAAACTTCTTGTAATTGTCGGTGTGGTTTCTACCATCGGCTGCATGCAGATCACTCACTGCCCCAGCCAAGTCTGTGAATCCTATCAGTACTTGCTATGCAAAGTTCCTTCTTGCTTCCATCTTCATTACAGAAGAAATAACACCTTTCTCTTAACTCTACCTTGAAGATATATTTTTGTTTTCTTCCGATTAATGTTTGCTGATCAATTACTGAAGGTGAAACAAAGAAGTCAGAACTCAAGTTCTGTAACAAATCTCTTAATACAATGTCCAAGTTCCACATACTATCTGAACAACCTGTTTCTCCATCTTCAGTTTATGTAGTTTGGATGACCCTGTCAGCTTGGGTGACTCTGTACACGTGGTCGCGGTTCAACGTCTCATCCGAACAACGGTGCTGCACACGTGGACACGGTTTAAGGTCACATCCGAACGACAGTGCTGCGGTTCGCCTGTTCCTTCCCTTTTTATATCACTTTAGGCGCTTAACTGTCGGAACAGTTTCTGCTTTACATGGCCGTAACAGTTGAGATTATCAATGATGGAGGTCTTCATTCGCACATTCCGCAGAAAACAGTTGTGTGGTATTTAATGGAAAGGTCTTATCTGATTCTGTACCCCTCGAAACATGGGGTTGGATGTCCACCTTTTTGTTCTTGATACCATGTGGTCCTTACTGAAATGACTTCATCCGATTCTTTGCCCCTCATAACATGGGGGTAGACACCAAAATCTTTTTGACACCATTTGCATATTGTACGGATTGCCCAAGGATGACAGTGGCATCACACAGATTCTTGAAGAGCACACTACAGAGGAATAGAAAAGGCAGAAAAACTTTGTACGGACCGCATTGCAAGGTTCTCCAAAAATCTTTGGTTTAGCAACCGGACTACAGCCCCATACCAGCACCATGAGCATTTTGTTTATTGAGAAGTTGTTTTAAAGATATCAACACATTCACCCTGTGACTTTGTAAGTGGGTCAATGTCATTCATTTTAACAAACTTGGTGCCTTTCGGATCATGTAAAACATGAAAACAGAAACACTGTCCTTAAAGTATTTACATAAATGACAAACACAAGTGTATAGTAGCATTTATATTTATTTTGTCTTCATGCCAATGAATACCAATGCAATTTATTAGAGAGAAATACATGGATAATCATACAAAGGTGAGTTTCGTTACTCGTTCTATAAGCAGAGCTATATTTCGTCCCCCAACAGTATAGCAGTAGGTTTTTATTTCCCCCTCAATATACATTTAGTCCTGTAAGTCATGGTTACTCTATCAAATAAATCCAAATAATAATTACCAAGGTTATTGTTTCATCTTATTTACTTTTTTATCAATTTCCAACATGTATAGTAAACATTTTACAAAGGAAACAACAATGTGTGTAGAAGTCTAATAAAAGTACCAGCTGTGTATTCTCCAGTAATGAGTATAGTGTTCAATTTTGAATGACAATGATTTCTGACTAGATGTAATGTGAACTTTTGATTTGTCTATTTGGATGTATTACTTTAAACCTTCTAAACTATATTGCATGTCATACTCAGTGCAATAATTTCTTAAAAATGAAAAAAAAAATATATAAATAAATGAAGTTTTGGTAAACTTTAAGAAAAGAAAATCAATTAATGACTTTTCCTGATGTTTTCTCCAAAACAATGTAAGAATTTATTGTTACAAAAGTCCCTGATTGGAAGAATCACCAAAGAAAATTTAGGAATTGCATTAGATCACATGTAAGTTATTGCAAGAAAGGTTTATGGAAACAAAAATAAATGCATTAATACATGTTTATATGTTTATGATGGCATGAGAAACCAATGTGTTAATAGTTAAAAACTGCGTATAAAATCAGACTACGTTACCACAAAAACAACCATTCAAACGAAGACAAAAAATAACAATAAGGCATACATATACATTGTTTACAGGACACTCACTAGTAATACTTTTGTTTTACAAATTAATTATGAATGTTACAATCATAAATAAAAATGGAGTACACAAACATCTATGCAAGTACAGAGATCCATAATAATTGCAATGATTGAATGTATGACGATACTATTGGACCCTATATCTCAGTAATATATAGACATATTTACCAGGCTGATTATGCTTAAGATAATACATATGTATAAAGAGTTCTGGCATAAAAATATTTAATATGCTGTATGACTTTTAGATAGTTTAACAAATATATTCTTAAAGACATTTTGACAATTTTATTTCCTTCCCTGTTGAAATTTTACAAGAGTTTTCCTATTGGTTATTTAGACAGTTAAGATATTTCCCATCATATCAACATCACATATTTATACCACAAATATTATGGGGGAACATTGTAGTGATTGGAGATCTGTAGAACATCTCTCCTTACCATGGGTTATCATTGATACACAGAGGATGATTATGATGGATTGTATTCATCACATCTCAGTAATATTAGGAAATACAAAACAATTAACATAAAATGTCTACTGAAGTCAATGCACCAAATTATGATGAGGAGTAACAACAGGTTATCAGTAGAACTGCACACTTCTTCCATGGTTAAGTATACCCCTATAACACCTGTGGTGAATCACACAACAGGTTATCAGCAGAACTGCACACTTCTTCCATGGTTAAGTATACCCCTATAACACCTGTGGTGAATCACACAACAGGTTATCAGTAGAACTGCACACTTCTTCTGTGGTTAAGTATACCCCTATAACACCTGTGGTGAATCACACAACAGGTTATCAGTAGAACTGCACACTTCTTCTGTGGTTAAGTATACCCCTATAACACCTGTGGTGAATCACACAACAGGTTATCAGTAGAACTGCACACTTCTTCTGTGGTTAAGTATACCCCTATAACACCTGTGGTGAATCACACAATAGGGATTCTTATCATCCCCAGGGAATAGCGAGTTTACTATCACACCTATGTCACCCTAAACATGGTGAGTCGACCTTCCTCAATCACTCCCTAGCGTTGTGAGGACACCTCTTTCTTATCCATGGCTGGTGAGTTTACTGTCACACCAAGGGGATGACGAATCCATTCCTATATATATTACCTTGGACATGGTGAGCCTGTGCCTATAACACTTAGGTCATAGCAAATCCACTCCTGTATCCCCCTAGTCATGGTGAGTCTACTCCTGTAACACCCTGGACATGTTGAGCCTACTCCTTTATCACCTAGGACATGTTGAGCCTACTCCTATAACACTCTGGTCATGGTCAGCCTTCTACTATAACACCCTTTCCATAATGAGTCTAATTCTGTATCACCCAGGGCATGTTGAGCCTACTTCTATATCACCCAGGGCATGTTGAGCCTACTCCTATATCACCCTTGACATGGTAAGTCTATTAAAACACACGGCACATTGAGTCCTATTCTTAATAGGATCATATTGGCAAGAATATCTAAGAAGCATCTGTAAAGCTTGCTGCTAATTTCGAGTTAAGACCCTTCTAAATGAAACAGTTTTCACAAAGCTGATTGTCATTCAGTTGACAAGATATTTTTATGACTGTTGGAACTACTAAAGGACATACGCAGGTGTTCAAAGCAGCTATTTTGGCAAAACAGTGATTTTACATTACAATACAGAATCCTGGAAGCATCACACTATAGTTTACTGTTACACATAGCAGAACTACTATTTAAGGTAAAATTACAAAACTGCATAGAAAAACAATTACCCTCTCAATCATCAACACTAAACTTCACTCTATCCCAGACTACAGAGCAAACACAACACCATACATTGGTGCATCTAGGAAGCATGTAAAAATTTACTGTACTTAAACATACCTTGTATGAACTGACTTGTAACTGCTACATGTGTGTTTGGTATGATTAAATTAATGCCTTGTTCCAAGTACTTTAGTGATATTATCACCAAAACAGATGCTTAGTTCCCAGTGCTTAGGTCTGTTACTATCATAGGGATATGTACCATGCCAGGTCCCTAGGGCAGGCACAGATGCTAGTCAACACCTGGTCCCTAGGGCAAGCACAGATGCTAATCAATACCTGGTCCCTAGGGCAAGCACAGATGCTAGTCAATACCTGATCCCTAGGGCAAGCACAGATGCCATAGCCAATACCTGGTCCCTAAGGCAAGCACAGATACTAGTCAATACCTGGTTCCTAGGGCAAGCACAGATGCTAGTCAATACCTGATCCCTAGGGCAAGCACAGATGCCATAGCCAATACCTGGTCCCTAAGGCAAGCACAGATACTAGTCAATACCTGGTTCCTAGGGCAAGCACAGATGCTAGTCAATACCTGGTTCCTAGGGCAAGCACAGATGCTAGTCAATACCTGGTTCCTAGGGCAAGCACAGATTCAGTGTTTGGTTCCTAGGGCAAGCACAGATTCCATGTTTGGTTCCTAGGGCAAGCACAGACTCAGTGCTCAATTTCAGGTCCCTCAGACAAGCACAGACAACATTTATTTTCTGGTCCCTACAGAAAGCAGGCACAGCACAATCCTCTACCTTCATAAAGTGCCATTAACAGAGATCACTGATAGTACATTCGAAGACCTGTTCCCCAGGGTGGAAGGATGGATGTCTTTTGGTATTAGGGCAGTTTTATCTCGTATGACAGCAGTAGATTAAAACAGTCAAAACTGATCTGACAATCTATCATATAAAAACTGACAAATTGTTTAACACAATACATAAACAATAAGTCCATTAAAGTACAGCTAAAGAAAACTCAAGTCCACTTGAAAGGTCAAAGGTCAATTAACCCTTGAGGCATGAAGCTGCCATATCCACCAGGTAACTGTATCAGATGTCTCAAATGAAACCTTTTTGAAACTGTCATCACATCCTTTGACATATGGACTCTTCTATCACCTTGTCAAGTATTGTACTGTGAGCAAATCTTATATTTCATCAATCCTCCTGCCCTCTAGGTGTTGGCTAATAATCTCCAACAGCTAACATTTAAGTCTCTAATGAACACTGGGATCATGATGTCTGCACAGTATTTAACATTTCTTGTCACCAAACTTGTCAGATGGTATTGGTCCAAATTTTACCATCTGAGTAAAAAAAGGCATCTTCAATGCTGTTTTTTAGAATAACCTCTTCTTGTCTTTTTTCCCTGATCTGAAAAGGATATAACAATGTACCAACTTTATTAAACTATATAGAAATATTTTATTTATTCTGAGAAAAGTTGACTTGTTGAAAACCTTATAATAAATGTTAAACTGAAGTTCTCAGTTTTAACTCATACAAATTATCTGGTGACCCCTGTAGATACAAACCACATTTATTTAAACAGTTGCAAAACAAGTTATCCAACTTACACTAATGACTCTTGTTGACCTGAACTGAAGCATGCAATGGTTCTTAGTGTGTACACTGCAGTACCCGGGGAAACCCACATGGTCAGGCAGGTAACCACTTAATTTTTCATATTCATCTGGGAAATTACATATTTTCTAATAATCATCTACAAACATATCATCCGGTGAATCTTTTACCAACATATTATCTGATGGCCCCTCTACTTACATATTATCTGATGGCCCCTCTACTTACATATTATCTGATGGCCCCTCTACTTACATATTATCTGATGACCCCCCCTCTACTGACATATTATCTGATGTCCCCCCTCTACTGACATATTATCTGATGGCCCCTCTACTTACATATTATCTGATGACCCCCCCCTCTACTGACATATTATCTGATGTCCCCCCTCTACTGACATATTATCTGATGGCCCCTCTACTTACATATTATCTGATGACCCCTCTACTTACATATTATCTGATGGCCCCTCTACTTACATATTATCTGATGTCCCCCTCTACTGACATATTATCTGATGTCCCCCCTCTACTGACATATTATCTGATGTCCCCTCTACTGACGTATTATCTGATGTCCCCCCTCTACTGACATATTATCTGATGTCCCCTCTACTTACATATTATCTGATGACCCCTCTACTTACATATTATCTGATGTCCCCCCCTCTACTGACATATTATCTGATGTCCCCTCTACTTACATATTATCTGATGATCCCCCTCTTCTTACATATTATATGATGTCCCCTCTACTGACATATTATCTGATGTCACCTCTACTGACATATTATCTGATGTCCCTTCTACTTACATATCCTTACATGATCCCTTTACTTACATATTCTCAGAAGATCCTTTGCCAGTAAGGCCTACAGAATCCTCCCAAGTGGATTTTTCCTTTTCAAATTGTTTCCATTTCTCATCCAGTTCCTTCTGTTGTTGTTCTAAGGACTTTTTCATCTGTTCTGCTCGTCTTTGCAACTATGAAAATAATAACAACACTGATTGTAAAATTGCTTTTTAGGATAATTGTACTCATAAAATCCACAGGTACTTATATGCAATCAGTATGTAACTGTCACTTTCTAAACACATAATTTCGTGGAACAAAAGTACTCGGAAATGTACAAATTCCAAGTGTTAATGAAATGTGGAATATTTCCACTAAATAACAAGTGCTTAGTTTTGAAATCATCTGGAGGACTGTGATTGGCTGGTTACCACAAGATCTGACTATCAGTTGTGCAGGACTGTGATTGGCTGGTTACCACAAGATCTGACTATCAGTTGTGCAGGACTGTGATTGGCTGGTTACCACAAGATCTGACTCTCAGTTGTGCAGGACTGTGATTGGCTGGTTACCACAAGATCTGACTATGAGTTGACTGATGGGCATTTACTCATACCTGACTATTTGTTCAACTGATCCTTCAGGTAATGGTGAAAACCCACCATTTGATGTGTATAATGACTGATGCTTTGACTTTTTGTTGACCAGACGGAGAGTAAAGGGATTGAGAAATCATGCAGAACACCCTATTTATGATGTTGATGACAATAAATTTTACAATAAAACTAAACAATCTAATTTCTCTGACAAAGATCAGTCATTAGAACTTGAACAGCAACCTACAACCAGGATATGGTTTCCAGGGAGAAATGGTTGTGGAACTTTGAAACTAGACTTATGTCAATATTGTACCAGCAGATTTAGAGATCTTGCCATTTCCATGATAAATATTCACACAAAAATCATTTTAAGATTCAGCAGTTGTTGATGGATTGTTCCAACACACAGTCCACTGGCAGTACATAATAACACTTACATCTGCTTCAGAGTCTTTGAGCTTCTGTTTCTTCTCCTTGACTTTCATCTCAAAAACTTGTTCCATTTCTGCTTCCATCTTTTTCATTTTGTTGTCGTGTTCACGCTTCTCCTCTGCCATCTGTGACAATGGGTCTCTGTAACAAATGACAAATGACATGTAACCATGGTAACACATAAACAGAGCACCAAGTCAAAATGGTGAGTATTTCAGTTATGTTTTACTAATGTTTGTATAGTAACTTAACAGATTATACGGTTTTATTGACCATGATGAAAAAGTGTAGACTTTTAGAGATTTAGACATCTTTTCAATAGTTGTTTTAAAAAAAATTTCAGACTTAATACTGACGATCAGTGAGTACCTATGCAAGTCATCAGTCCACTGCATCATTAGTGGATCATCACCACATACATTACCTTTGTTAGTTATCATTTTGGCATATTTAGTCATTTTAACGTTTGCTTCCAGACAGCATGCTTGTAGTCAGTAGGTGTATTTGTGCATGTTTGTCACCAATAGTTTATGTTCTTTCAATGTATTTCAATTGTATTTCCTAATCAAATTATGGTCGAAGCATAAGGATTTCTTGGGCTGAGTTCAATAAACACATTTTATTTTTAGATATCATAACAGCTAACCAGGTTCTGGCATGATTCACTTCCTATTTTTTCTAGGGACCCAGACCTAATGTCTAGCAGAACACAAATAATCTATTTCCCTGTAATGATGTAAAATTTCAGATATAGGTGATTGTTAACATTGAGACAGGGCTACTGTATCAAAGTCGCGACTGTCACAGCTACCATTTATAGGTATAAGATGGTCAGAGTAGATTGAGAAACATTTGTACTCAAATACATTCTTCGAAATGATAACACAGAGGATAAGAAAACTGTGATATAACACGGTGACTATAGTTAACTACCTAAAATACTTACTTGTTACAGTAATGTTTACCTGGCATTTGTTTAATGTCACTGGGTGGAGTTTAAGTAGAAATATTATAAATTAAGCCTTGTTTACCTGAGGTTGAAGAGACAGTTGGCCAAGAGTTTCAGAGGTCTGACGGACCAAGACCAAATAGTTCCTTTGACTTTATCAGTGATTTCTTTTCAAGTCTTTTAATCATTACATCAAATCTAGATCTAATTACTCAATTTAACATCATCTTGTTTCACTTTGAATGAATTTCTTACTTGGACATAGAGCCTGGTTTGACTTGCTTGCTGTCTCCAGTGGAGGGGGCTAGTTTGCTGTATCTGTAATTCTCATAATGAACGTTATTTGTGACATCCTTCAAGTCTTGCATGTGTGTTCTGAAAAGAAATTATTTTTTGGATTACAATTTCAACATTAACTTGTCAGTTCAGGAATGTGTCCTCTCAATGACAACAAGTGTACAGGACATTTTAAAACAAAGTATGATAACAAGCATTAATGTATTTACTGAAGTAACAATTTAACAATAACTATCACTTCTATGACTTTTGTTATAGATATCAGCATTAACATAAAACCATATCTTTACATAGCTATTATAGAGAATGGAAAGATTTCATAATAGCCACTTTAGAGATTGGAAAGATATTTCATGATATGTAGCAAAATTATAGTCACTATAGAGAACAGAAAGATATTTCATAATAGTCACTATAGAGAACAGAAAGATATTTCATAATAGTCACTATAGAGAACAGAAAGATATTTCATATTAGTCACTATAGAGAACAGAAAGATATTTCATAATAGTCACTATAGAGAACAGAAAGATATTTCATGATATGTAGCAAAATTACATAATCACTATAGAGAACAGAAAGATATTTCATGATATGTAGCAAAGTTTGTCACAGGTTTTAGTTAGTTTACTATCACTGTTTTCTACATATGATAACAGGGAATCTGTTAATGCTGGGAGGAGCTGTAAAATGTTAGGGGATAATGCGTGTCGTGGAGGCCTATTAGGGGATAATGTGTGTTGTGGAGGCCTATTAGGGGATAATATGTGTTGTGGAGGCCTGTTAGGGGATAATGTGTGTTGTGGAGACCTATTATGGGATAATGTGTGTTTGGCCTGTTAGGGGATTGTGTGTGTTGCAGGGTCCTGTCATGGGATCATGGTTGTCATGGAGGCCTGTTAGGGAATCAGATGTGTTGGGAAGGCCTGTTAAGGGATCATGTCTGTTGGGAAGGCATGTTAGAAGAGCATGTGTGTAGGGAAAGCCTGTTGGGGGATTATATGTGTTTGATAATGTAGCAGTTGAATCTGTCTTACCTGATAAGCATATTTCTGAGGGCTATGAAGTCATTGTGCTCCAAATTTTCAACTGAAAACAGAAGATTGGTATTTAACATTTTTTTTTTTTCAAGTTTGAAAGTTCATGGATTTAAAGAATATATACAAATAAATCAAACTGAATACAGAAACATATTTTGACTAACATCATTAACAATAATAACACCAATCATGAAGTATTTATAGAAAACTACAGAGGACACTCACCCTCTACAAGGCCCCACGGGTACTGTCTGCCACGCACTCTTTTACCTCCAGCTTCTATGACTCTATTGCTCCCCACCACAGCAAATGGCACACGGTCCTAACAATACACAAGAGAATGAAATATGGCCACTGTACTGTGAAAGTACATACTACAATGGATTACAGACTTGAGACTGGTCTTGTGTCTGGATCTGGAACTTGTGATCTCTGATACCAAATCACCTCACCAAGAAATACACAAAGCTCTGTAAACAAGTAATCAAAACTACTGTCACCATGCATGGTGACATCATAAAAAAATTTAAAAGTTTGACATGTCATTCTCTTATCCTTTCATAACAGCACAAATTGTCCTATAATTCAAATTTACATGCAAAAATATAACATGAAAGTATTCAGTGAAGAAAACAGAATTTATGTGATGAAATAAACATATTGTAACAAAAGTTCATTATGTAGATTACAAAGCTTTGATATTGATTAGCAGTCCATTCATATTGCAATTTACAAACAAACAGTTGCATTATTGAAACATAAAATATTAACCACATGGTCCAGCATTGTTCTATTACCTACCCGTAATTTTTTCTGTATCTTACTGTCCTCATCATCATCACACTCAGGAAACTCGTATATCCTGATTTTATGACGGGCAATTTCATTTAAAATCTGTCAACAGAAACATTAAAATTACAACATTTTTATTTCAATATGGCACTTAATAAAGCTTATATTGATTACCATATCAAAGATATAATAATGTAGAACTACTGGAGAATTTGTGAGAAAGGAATGAAAGTTTGAGGGACTTACTGTCTTTTTGAACTCACGGCATTCATCTGGTGTGAGCGTGTCAGCCTTGGCAATCAGAGGGATGATATTTACTTTGTCATGAAGTCTTTTCATAAATTCTACATCTAATGGTTTTAAGCTGAAATACAAAATAAAAAACATCATGATCTACACAGAGATGGTTCCAGTTAAAGCTCTGTAGAGATCAGAAATATACTGTTTCGCAGTGTCTTGATAAAAGATTTTGTATACTACAGCTATTATAATTTATCATATAAGGGTGGGAGCCTTTGAAGCACTTACCCATGCCCTGTTGGGGCGATGAAGTACAGACAGGTGTGTACTCTATAATCTGGCATTGTGATCCTACTGACTCGGGACTCAGAATTGAGGTAATCATCATATTTGCTATCGATGAAATCAATGACTGGTTGCCAACTAGAAAAGAAAAATATGGCATCACCGAATTATAACTGAAATATCAATACTCATATTTGTTTTTAGTAACAAAGTAACAAAAATGAGCTGCCAAGGAGACTGAATCTATTCCAAACTAGTAGGAAAAACTGTAAGAGATATGTTGTGTGATCTTTTATTGTATCTTAGGCCAGTTCAAAAGATGCCCGACACCAATACCTTCATCCTGCATAAAGTTGACCAAACATGTAGTTAACTATGGTTACAACACTGAAACTTCTTTTTCATAGAAGACACTGCAGGCTAGTGCACTCACAATGAGCTCTTAAACATCTGCAAGGGGACATAACTCAAACACCCTCAGACAAATGAGCATTGTGTCCAGCAAGCAGCAAGGCCTACGTGTTTGACCTGTGGTACTATCAAATGGATCACATCTTTTAAAGTTGGCTAAAGTGGGGTCAAGTTTTATACCACTTCACCTCTAGTAAACCCATATCTAACATTGTGAAGGGTCTGAGGGCGTGACCCGAAACATGATCCTACAGAACAGCCACTGTGTGTCTAACACTACAACTAACATACAAAGGCTACAAGTAGTATCACATATCTTAAACATGGATCTTTATTTGTATTTCGACCTCAAGTATTTTATTTGTCTAAAGTGATATATCATCAATAACACATATCCTCAAGGCCAAGTAATATCATCCAAATGTTCCAAAGAAACCTCTTACATATATATCCTTTGATCACACTAACTTTGTTTCCATTTATCCAATTAGCTTTCACACTTTTGTTTGACACTTTTCATAAACTACAGGAGATACCAGTATTATGATAAAATGACTAGAGGTACAAATATAGAACAAAAGAGTCTCTTATGTCTGTAGTATAACTTTATCATTAGAGGTAATATAAGATTGTGTAAGGTTGGTTTATCAAGGCCTGGCTATGTCTCCTGGGGATAGAGTAACCCTTTATCAGCCAGTCTGATACAGGAATGGGCTGATTTCCACCTAATGAGGTGTTAGTGAGACTGTGATGTGTGAAGGGGGTCACTAACCTGGACTACACATACACAAATCTCTCTCCTAGACTATGCCACTGAGAGAGTATCTAAGTCTACCTGATGAATTTTAAATAAACATTTGAAAATAATACAGTATTTAAAATTAGAGGCAATAAGAGGTTAATCAAAACAGTCTGACCATATTTTTTATGTAGATTTTATTGTTTGCTGTTACTTCGATAAAAGACCCAATGTCAGATAAAGATTACTGTCAATGCTATAATACTAATATTACTAATGCTAATGATTGAATAATTCAGCCTATTTGTTTCTGCTCTAAAGATATTAATCACAACACTTAACAAAGTGGTTTGATGTTGACATCAATTTAGGAATCAACAGGTTGACCACCCTTTTAAAGACATGTTTCTAAAGTTTCCTAAAAACCACTTACCAGTTACTATTATCTACTGCGTCCCCAAATCCTGGTGTATCCACAACAGTTAGTTGTAATTGTACCCCATTTTCCTTCAACACGGTTTTAGTTGTCTCTACCTGCAAAAGCACCAATCAAGCTTTATAAAGGAGTTAAACTGGTTTCCTACTTTTTTAGGAAAGAAATCTGACAATTTTTTTTAAACATTCAGATGTTAGTGTTTAGATTCCAAGGCAAAGATTAAAAACAAAAACGTCATTTTTATTCAACATTGCAATAATGTCTCATTAAATTCCACTTTTTCTAGAAGAATGGCAGAAGAAACCAGAAGACAAAACAAGAATAAGAAACCAAGCAAAGACATTTTGTCCCAAACAAACAATCAAAGATAACCTATTATTCTCCATATTGGTATTCAGAGTGTGGTTCAATAAGATTCCAATGTACAATTTGAAAACATCTTTAATATGCCTAACTCTTCCAGGCTATACTTTCTCCTTTAGACACATGTTGTAGCATTTCTATAAAATACCTAGCTTCAGTTCCTTTCAATTAACTCAACCTCTCCTGATTTTCCTACCCCATTGCTTGCCTGCATTTCTTTCTCTTGCCTGTGTCACTTTCTAATCTGATTCTGACCTCTTTCAAATAAGTTTGTAATGTTTAGCAATGAGGCCGAAACTTGTGCACTTTAGAAAAGAACTAGAAAATGATTGTAAGATATAAATGTCCCTGCTCCAATCCGAAATTTTATCAACATCTGACAGATTTCTTTGAAGGTAATGGTGACCTTGACCTGAGAACATTGAGGTATGAACTCTACTGAAGTATTGCTATAGTTTAACAATGGGACAGAAAAACCACTAAATATTACTCCTCAATAAACCCTGAAAAAATCTTTCCCCATAAAAGTTTGACTGAAATATATGACAGAATCTGGGTTATAAGTGGTTCAATAACTGCTGTGTTACTGAAGTTTAGACTGCCTTACTTTGACAGTTTTCTGTATGCGATGGGAAGGGCCTGGATAGTCCCCACTGTAAAGGTCAGAAAGGAACAAGGAGTTGATCAGTGTGGATTTTCCCAGTCCAGATTCGCCTGAAAGAAAAAAAATGATATAAATTATACATTCTGAAGTAATTTAATAGCAGACTGCAGAGAAATTAAAGTGTCTTCAGAAATGTACAAATTGTCTTTAGTAGAGGCACATCTAATTGTGACTTCTATATCATTAGATTTTGAAGTTATCTATCTGAAATTTACCCTCCTGTACATAAAATAGGCTATGTTTTACCAAGAGCATACTAGATTGAATGATTGATAGTAAAATGTCACTTATATGCAAATCAGTGTAATGCAAAGTACATGTTCTATTACAGATCTATGATATGTTGCCTTTTGACAGATCTATGATATGTTGCCTTTTGACAGATCTATGATATGTTGCCTTTTAGCTGATCTATGATATGTTGCCTTTTGACAGATCTATGATATGTTGCCTTTTAGCTGATCTATGATATGTTGCCTTTTGACAGATCTATGATATGTTGCCTTTTGGCAGATCTATGATATGTTGCCTTTTGACAGATCTATGCAGGGTTTTCCATAATTTTGTTAGTAGTAGGCTGTGTAGTGAAAGTAGGAGGCTGGCCTGCCATGTACTTGTAGTCGTGTACGGAACATTATTATGGAACTGGATTGGTGTAGGCGGCCAAATGATCAAAGTAGCCGGTCAAATTGGCCGGCGACCGGCTTTTATGGAAAACCCTGTCTATGATATCTTGCCTAACCTTTTTGCTGACATAAATCACACTTTTCTTGAAATTTTCTGTGAGGTTGTCTCCCTTTACTCTCTTAACAGACAATCCTTAGCAAAAAATTTTGATATTCTTGAAAATATAAAGGATACAGTCTTTGTCATAATTGATCTCATTTCCCATTTTTTTGCAGGTTTCAAATTTTCTGATGGTTGTGTCATAATCTATGATGTTTATCTAATATATGTGGGCCAAACATATGCTTAGAGACAACTTTTTGGCGAGATTTACACCTTAAGACAACGATACAGGGAGGGAACATGTGCAGAACAATTTTGTTACAGAATTATACATTCACTGCATCCTGTACACAGACACACTGCTCTGATATAATCATCTTTTTTATCAGAGAAATGTCTTCATGCACAAACTGGCCTGGCAAAGTTCCAGAAGTTACACAGTGTGTGAAATTGCAACCGACTGGCACAGCATTCCTCTACCACACATGATAATGTACAGACGATTGGTAACCATGCAATTATGATCAATGACAATGTAATGAGTACAGGAAAGGGTGTCACTTAGAGGCAGTGAAAAGGGAGAAAATCATAAGAAGGGTGACAAGAGCAGTGAAAGGCATCCCTGAAAGGCAGCGAAAAGGTGGAAGAGTACAGGAAAAGTAATGTCCCTCAGAGGCAGTGAAAATTTGCATGTATAGATATATCTACTGATGATACCACAGCCATGTATAAACCCACTTTTGAGGAGACTTGGTGTTATTTGGAAACAAAATATAAATAAACTTGATCGTGGACATACCCTTTGGACACAAAAAATGGCTAGATACACACAGACTACTGGTGCAGTTTATTTCACTTTACAATGTAGGTATGAGTTCAAACAGGACCTGTCCTGATTTATGAGGAACAGGAAGTCTGGTGTATCCACCTTGAGAAGGTGAAGGCCATCTGTCAATGACTCCCTTTTAAAATTACCGGGAAAGTAAATAGTCAGGGATCTGTTTACAGAAATGATAGACAACTAAACACATGTACTGTCCTGACATATATGTCTATTCCTGGCAATTGTTTTACTTATATAAGTGTAAGGTGCAGGTAAGGGCAACAATGTCTGAAATTTATACTAAAAAACAATCCTTACACTAGAAATTGTCTGTAGGACATGATTATGTTGACCTTGAAACAGGAACTAATCCAAATTATTGTTGACCTTTGTATAAAGTTATTTAATCAAACTCCCTTCAGAATGAAAAGAGACAACATTTGTTGACAGGCTTTTCAAAGGGGAAACATGGTTAACACTATAATGTTTCCCTATACCCAATTAAGTTTGGTATTAATCGTTTATTTTTTACATGGAATAGCAATAAATGAAAAATATGGAATAAAAAATAGATAAGGCATCAGAGGCAATTTACAAGTCTATCTTATAACTGTTCACTCCCTTATACACAGGAAGTTATCAGAAGTACACAAATAACAGGAAGTTGTAACTCAGCTTCATCATTACACACCTGCTCATCTAGACCTATCATCAATTACTTGTAACCTAAAATTGCAATTTGATGCCAATTTTACACATATATTTACAACTAAATAGATGAATAACTGACAACTTTCAGGAATATCTTTATATGAATGATTCTAGTCAGCAGCAGGCAGGCAAACTTATGGTACTTTCAAACAAGAAATTGTGAAGACTTTCAGAGTAACAAAGAATGGCCTGTGGAATAATGCTTCATCAGCAGGTAAGTTGCTGTACAAAATGGGAAACCATGGGAAACAAAAAGGGCCAAAGAATTCCTAGGATAACAAAGTCAAATTACTAAACTCACAACACACATGGATATAGAGAGTGTGATAATTACTGTCCCTACATCTCCACACTGTCACAGATACATTGGTGATACAGATGATGTCAAGGGAGATAATTACTGTCCCTACGGCTCCACTCTGTCATAGATACATTGGTGATACAGATGATGTTAAGGGAGATAATTACTGTCCCTACAGCTCCACACTGTCACAGATACATTGGTGATATAGATGATGTCAAGGGAGATAATGACCATCCTTATATCTCCACACTGTTACAGATACATTGGTGACAGATATATAGATATATATAGATACAACATCTCATTGGACACTTGTCACTTCAATATTTGTAAGAATAGTATATACTGAACAGACAAAGCTGACATACTATACATAGGATATCTCAATGGACACTTGTCACTCCAACATCTGCAGATATCATAAATGTTTTACTGGCCCTCTGATGACAAGCTGAATGTTTCCAGCACAACAATTTTATCCAGTTGTGACCAGGCTTCCTAACACTCATTCAGCAATAAAAAAAAAACTGCCAAACACATACATGCAAACATCTCATGTTTCAGAAGAAAAATTACCAAGACGAACATGGTCCCTAAACCTTATCTACTGCCATAAACTTGATACCACTGCGCCATCTACACCAATGTTCTACTGAGGTCTCAGAGAATGGAGTTTCACATGCATTTGGTGATGTTTGATTGATTTAACTGCTGTCCTGTCAACTCTATCTTTGTGAGGTATGCCATCCTCTAAACATTAGCTCTTTTTTATACCACCATGTTTATATGCCTGTACAGTCAAAACACATTGGATACTTCATTGGCATCAATCTAGATAATGTGAAATTTTTTCCCATTGGAAACTGTTTATTTCTATCAATAGCAGTTAAGGAATAAAATTCATTTGACATACATTATGTCCTAATTATTTTTTAATTGGTGACTAATGTCCTGATGCTAATTCAAAAGTACTTATCCTGCATTAAACTTAGGAGACCAACGTCCTGACTCAAAGTCAGGGGTGGACAACAAAATAAAATTTGTTACTCTACTGAACAGCAATAGAATTAGGGAAAATATCCTGGATGGTTCAGTAAACAAACATCCAAAAGTGAGTCATCCAGAGGATTGCTAACATCAGATAATGCTTCAAGATACAGTTCATTACATATAATTCTGCTCAGGTTATTCATACTGAATTAGAGAACCTTTGAAGGTCAAATCAGGCACACCCAAGGCTTGCTCTTAACAGTGAAACACAGAGTCTGACTAAAGAGGAAGAGAAATTGTATTGTAAGTCCTTCAAAACAATGGGTTTCAAGTATTCCTGTTGTACAGTAATGTCTGGATAAGTATGGCTTATATGCAATATGATTAAAAAAATATCTCACAATAAGACTATTATTTTTTAAAAACATTTCAGAAAAAAAATCCTGAAAAGTTTTGCTGACAAATGAACTCAATTTCGTTGTAAAGAGAATATTCCTTGTAAAAATTAACTGTTACTTTGACACTAGAACAACAGTAATACATAATACATAATAATATTATGGGAAAGGAATTAATATATGGGAAAGGAATTAATATAAGCTTTAAGCTTGTTTTCCCATCCCATAAGATTATGCGTACCTGTCTGTAATTAAATGCTTATTACTGAATAAAAATATTGTTTAAACTAACAGTAATACAGATTCATCTCAGTTATCCTCATACTGGATCTTAGTGAAAGTTTGACTAAAATCCAGACAACCGTAATACAGGTTCATCTCAGTTATCCTCATACTGGATCTTAGTGAAAGTTTGACTAAAATCCAGACAACAGTAATACAAGCTCATCTGAGTTATCCTCATACTGGATCTTAGTGAAAGTTTGACTAAAATCCAGACAACAGTAATACAGGTTCATCTCAGTTATCCTCATACTGGATCTTAGTGAAAGTTTGACTAAAATCCAGACAAATTACCATTGAAATTGGTAATGATGAACATGGCCTTGAAACTCTAATGTAAGAACTCTGGCTAAGTGTTTTGAAACCTACATAAGTATTGGACAGGAGAGGCCAATGCTATCGTCCATAATCAAGTGCTATCAGCTAGATACTTTTGTCAATTGCACATCACATGTTACCTACATTAATTTACATTTTTTATACACCAGCTATTCCTTAAAATTCTTATAAGTTAAGCAATATTTTCCAGTGTTTTGTCATTCAATTTATTAGTTACCCTAATTGATGAAATAAATTACCAGCCATGTCACAAAATAAATACCTTTCACTATGTATACTACCAATGAAACATCATTTTAAGTAGTTAATGGTAATAATGAAATAATTATTAGAGGTTGTCCAGATATTCTACATTAACATGTCAGTAGTGATGGAAAGCGTTAAAAGGTTTCATCAGCTATATTACAGCATCAAAATTGGAACTCTGACAGAAATAATCATGCAATATTCTGTTCTAAATTATATATGGCATTACATGTAGTCTGTTGTGACATGTGATAACAAACCAGGAGTGGCTTGTGATGGAATTCATCTTTCGATCTTTGAATTTGATGAAATTGTTGATTAAGTAGAGTGACTTGGCAATGAGGCAAAATGTTACTGAATTCGTAAACAAAACTGGCAATAATTAAATTCGAGAAGGAAATACAGAATATGGGAAACCTGGCCAGCATGCTGCAAGTTATACATGAGTAGAACATAAGGAAAAATTGTTTTTTCTGTGTGTAATTACTACAGCTTGAATGAATGTGGCTAATGAAAATGTATTTACTTAACATACAAACAATAACAAATATTTAAGCAGGGTCTTGAAACATTGAGAGAGATCTTAAGATGCATGTAATCTATGCTTTGCAGTTTTATCCTAAAAACATAGCTGGTCATCTCCATGACATAAAGTTTATTATGAACATCCCCTTATATCAAACAATGACATTCACAGTGTAGGCTGTTTATACTAGGGTTTTATTTCAGCATATATGTTCATATTAAAGAGTTGATATGTAAATATATTGTGCAGATTTACGAATCCAACACATTGAACATCCACACTAGATTATTTTCTGGATTTCCAAACTAACTGTTCTGTCTTCACTCTTTTGATGACTAAAACAAAGAATGAGCAGGCTGGCCTTCAAGTGGACCCACCTTGAGCTTTGTGTTACTTTTCCCTCTTCAGATGTTTTTCTTATGCATTTCCCAATTCTATTTGAAAGTTAAGTAAACATGACATGACCTATATGGTTTTTTTTTTCATTCATAAGTTAAATAGAGCAACTGGTATCTAGCTGAGTACATGTATAAAGGTTTAATAGTCAACATTACCATTGATATACATTATACTTAATACAGAAATTCAGAAAAAGTCAACTAAATACTGACCCCAGATTGTCCAGGTTACCACCAGTAATAGCTTTAGGAATTTTAGAGATTTCCAGGTTATATTAAGGATACTAGAACAAAGTTACAGTCTGTGATTTCCTTTCTAACATTTTCTTTCCACATCATTTTATCTTTATATTTCTCTCCGTCATGTCTGAATGGCATCTCTATGTAAATAGAAGAAGACTTTAAAGAGATACGCCCAACACAGAAATGCTATTCCTGCCCTTGGACATTTCACATGAACTTTATGTATAGAAAGACCCTTTGTTTTATAAAAGCTAAAATTCCTCTCCTATATAACATCTCACCTAGTAACCAGAGTTTAGATGAAGATTGAGCTATGCTGTATACATCATTATCTCCAGTTATGTCAGTTTCTGATGTTATAATACTTCAAAACAAGGTTATTATCTGCTGCTTTACTGAACAAAAACATTTTTGAGCTAATCCAACCAACAAAAATTGTGTTCCTGTCTGGTAAGACAAATATATGACAGGAAATCAACCAAAATACATTAACAAGTACTAATTGTAATGAGGACCATTACAAATGTCCCCCAAACGTCCCCTTCAGCAGTTAATGATCACAATAATCAGACCTGCAGCCATGCCAAACATGGACTACGCCATTTTGCTCCTAGTGCCACTTAATACATGTATACCAATTTTCACGAAAATCGGACAATATCTAACATTTGGCCAAATTTTGACCACAGCTGACCACTCAGATGACCGATTGGAAAATTTCAAGTGGCCTGCACTCCACCTTGCATGTATGAATATGTATGTCAAGTTTTGTTAAATTCCATGCAACATTTTTGAGAAACGCGTCGGAAACCTCGCCAGCGGAAGAAAGAGGAAGAAATAATATAAATAATAATAATAGGAAACGGAGCAAACACAATATGTCCCCCCACTTCATTTGGTGTAACTAACTATAACACTGACAACTGTACAGGTGTAACTGACAACTATAACACTGACAACTGTACAGGTGTAACTGACAACTACAACATTTGTATCTATATATACAGGTGTAACTGACAACTATAACACTGACAACTGTACAGGTGTAACTGACAACTATAACACTGACAACTGTACAGGTGTAACTGACAACTATAACACTGACAACTGTACAGGTGTAACTGACTACTATAACACTGACAACTGTACAGGTGTAACTGACAACTATAACACTGACAACTGTACAGGTGTAACGGACAACTATAACACTGACAACTGTACAGGTGTAACGGACAACTATAACACTGACAACTGTACAGGTGTAACGGACAACTATAACACTGACAACTGTACAGGTGTAACTGACAACTATAACACTGACAACTGTACAGGTGTAACGGACAACTATAACACTGACAACTGTACAGGTGTAACGGACAACTATAACACTGACAACTGTACAGGTGTAACTGACAACTATAACACTGACAACTGTACAGGTGTAACGGACAACTATAACACTGACAACTGTACAGGTGTAACTGACAACTATAACACTGACAACTGTACAGGTGTAACTGACAACTATAACACTGACAACTGTACAGGTGTAACGGACAACTATAACACTGACAACTGTACAGGTGTAACTGACAACTATAACACTGACAACTGTACAGGTGTAACGGACAACTATAACATTTGTATCTATATATACAGGTGTAACTGACAACTACAACATTTGTATCTATATATACAGGTGTAACGGACAACTATAACATTTGTATCTATATATATATATGTGTAACTCACAACTCTTCCATTAAGAACACTACAGGTGTAATTGACATGTCAACTAACAACTAAACATGTATAGTTGGCAACTCTTATTGATAACTGCAGGTATAACTGATCACTCCACAGGTATAATTGACAACTGTGAATACCTCACTGAGCATTGAATTTGGCATATTGTTTCAAATTTATTTGACATATTGTTCCTGATTTCCACATCTTCCAGAAATTTTCCAACTTAATGGAATTCCTTTTTCTATGTTTTTTTTTTCTTACCAGCTATTTATACAAAGTATCCAATCTATCTATACAACAAGAATAAGAAGTATAACATCTATATGCACACAAGTCATTCTAGCACTAGACCACTAAACATTTGGGTATAAATGACTCATTCACTGAAAAGTCTGCCAGAAAGCACTTGAGCTCACTTTGTCCCTGTCTTGCCCTCCTAATATGATCAATAGTACTACAGCTATTACTACCACACAAGCTTAGTCTCCATATCTCATTCACTTAGCAGCCAGCTGTTTGTCTCCTCCAGTATCTCCTGTTCTATGTCTGCAATGACTGTAATACAGGGAACATGTCAACTTTACCACTGTCAGCATTTATGATATTCATAGTCATCCATTTTTTCATATCCATCCAACTTCAGAAGCAGTTGAAGAAGTATGCACGAGTAATTCATAGAACCACAATCTCAAAAAAATCAATGGTAAGCAACTGCTTAACATGAAATGGAAAATTTGGTCATGACATTCATAGATGATATGGCTGTCATTTGTATATGGATTAATTACACAATTATCCCATAGAGTGGTGTTAGATTTTATTTACTGCAGCCAATGATTTGCAATGATTTACTAGAAAACGCAGCAGGTCTGGGTGTGTATAGGCTGTCCCCAGATCCTCTTCAGCTCCCTATGATGAGATAACTACAGTAATATTTATAGAGGTGAATAATCTGCAATCTACATCCTTCCCTTTACAACATGACAACAACTATAAACTGAAATGTACAGTCATACTAGAGGTATGCTGTTTGCATAAGCTCTTCCAAATTTGCTGAATCTCATTTTTCATGATTTTTTATCTTTGATTCTTCAACACAGAATCTTGATGAGATGATGCATTACATGTATAGATAACATGAAATAGTAGATAACCCTGTCCTTCCCCAACCCCCTCACCAGCTGTAGGGGGTGGGGATGCAGGGGAGATTTTGACAAGCTGAAGATTGCAGCACCAAACCAACAAGGTTATATCTCCGTCACAAACAGAACCTTCTTTAAACAGGACACAAACTTCTTACACAAAGTTTTCAATTTATTTTATCTTTGCTTGCCTTTTTAGCACAAATTAGAAATATTTTGGTGAAGTAGAAATTATGAGACATATCAGCTGATTCGGCACATACATAAGCTCAGGTCAATTAAATACAGTATCATTTTGTTTTTTGATGTAATGTGATATTGCTACACTTGATATTAACTGCATAGTTTAAATTTGATTTTCCTGTAGCAGTAATACTGCAGTATGAAACAGTAATAACATTCCTAAGATGTAATTATACCATATGTCACCTAATGATTAAAACATAACATCTGGTTTCATGTTTCTAATGACCCAGACAATACAGGCTACACCAGATTTGCACCAAGACTATTTATCTGGTAGGGATCAAAACCACACACTGCTGGCAGACATGTACCATACCAGTTACAATAAACCCCCAAGTCTCACTGTTGACAGAACTGTACCTGTCACTTCTGACAGATATGTACTGAACAGGTACAAAAAACACCCCAGTGTCACTACTGACAGAACTCTACCACGAAGGTTTTAAAAAACATGTGAATCACTTCAGACAGAACTCTACAATAAATGCTTAAAAACACACCCCAGTGTCAAAATTGTCAAATAAATGTGAATCATAGCTGTAGCATTTTCAGTTTGAATAAAATTGATGAAAAGGCTAAGAGTTACAGCATTTTATGTGAAAACCTGTGTATAACAAACTGGTAACCATGGCAATCAAAAGTCTGCATGCACATATGAATATAATCCTAACATCCCTGCATTGTTTTATTGAAATCCTTCTGCAACATAAGGAGGACTCTGGAAAAGAACTATCCCATCATGGGTCTCATTTGGTTACCATAGAAACCAAAATAATAAACACCCCAGTGACACTACTGACAGACATCGACCATACAGACTACAATAAACATCCCAGTGTCACTACTGACAGACATCAACCATACAGAATACAATAAACACCCCAGTGTCACTACTGACAGACATCTACCATACAGACTACAATAAACACCCCAGTGTCACTACTGACACACATCAACCATACAGACTACAATAAACACCCCAGTGTCACTACTGACAGACATTTACCATACAGACTACAATAAACACCCCAGTGTCACTACTGACAGACATCTACCATACAGACTACAATAAACACCCCAGTGTCACTACTGACACACATCAACCATACAGACTACAATAAACACCCCAGTGTCACTACTGACAGACATTTACCATACAGACTACAATAAACACCCCAGTGACACTACTGACAGACATTTACCATACAGACTACAATAAACACCCCAGTGTCACTATTGTCAGATATCAATCATACAGACTACAATAAACACCCCAGTGTCACAACATTGTCATTCATATTCCTTTGTCACAACAACATATATATATATATATGTAACATCGTTCATATTCAAGTGTACATGTTATTTCCACGAAATTGGTTAATAAGTCTATCAGGAGTTGCCCATACATAATAATTCTACAAAATGACACTGGCATCATTACAGATAGATAGCACACTCAACATAGGCTCCAATAACATTCTAGTGTTACCACACACAAACATGTACCAAAGACAGTGTATCTGTCGTTTGTTATAGATATAAGGACTATCCCCATGGCTTGGACTATGTACTGCTATAAGTAATCTCTTCATTCCACATTTGAAGAGAAATGCTGGTTTCCTTAGGCTTGCACAATACCATCTGTGTGTTTTTAATTACAGGCTAGACACTCAGAGACACATTTGGCCCACATTCATTGAGCTAGCTTGTATATACAGACAATGAAGAGCTGTTCACTTAGAAACTTTATATGCACACATAGCAAAATAATTACCTTATTACCTCTTTTTCTCTTGGTAAATTTAAATTTATGATCATGATGATGAGTGAGTTTCAAATCTTTAATTATGATGATGTGTGAGTTTTAAATTTATGATCATGATGATGAGTGAGTTTCAAATCTTTAATTATGATGATGTGTGAGTTTTAAATTTATTATCGTGATGATGTGCGAGTTTTAAATTTATGATCATGATGATGAGTGAGTTTCAAATCTTTAATTATGATGATGTGTGAGTTTTAAATTTATGATCATGATGATGAGTGAGTTTCAAATCTTTAATTATGATGATGTGCGAGTTTTAAATTTATGATCATGATGATGAGTGAGTTTCAAATCTTTAATTATGATGATGTGTGAGTTTTAAATTTATGATCATGATGATGTGCGAGTTTTAAATTTATGATCATGATGATGTGTGAGTTTCAAATCTTTAATTATGATGATGTGCGAGTTTTAAATTTATGATCATGATGATGTGCGAGTTTTAAATTTCTGATCATGATGATGTGCGAGTTTTAAATTTCTGATCATGATGATGTGCGAGTTTTAAATTTATGATCATGATGATGTGCGAGTTTTAAATTTCTGATCATGATGATGTGCGAGTTTTAAATTTCTGATCATGATGATGATGTGTTTATTTTATAAAATGATCCTGGTGATGCTTTCTGATCTCTGAAGTGTTTCATATGTATTTCAGTAATTATCCGAGTTGTTTATGTCTGAAAAATGTCGGAAATTATTTCCAAGTAAGATTTACTTACCCACAACCATCAGTGTGAACTCAAATCCCTTCTTCACAGATTTTCTGTACACTTGATTGGGTAAACTTGCAAACCCAACATAACCATCTAGTTCTTTCGTTCCCTCGCCATACTTTTTGTCCTTATCTTTGTCTTTGCCATGGTCTACTTCCTTTCGTGGAGGTTCCTGAATTCTTTCACGATCCACTCCAAACCGAGAACTCGGATCAAATTTTGGCAGTTGTGCTGAGGTATCTCCACCTTTAAAGAAGGCTTCTCGCTTGGCAGCATTAATCTGGAAAATTAATTAACACAATCAAATGAAACATTTTCATACTTGATGCAATGGTGATCTCAAGAAAACAACTTCAGTCATACCAAAGTAGGTCACTGTGACCTGGTCAACAGACAGTCAGAGAGGATTTAGTCAATCAGATACCAAAGTAGGTCACTGTGACCTGGTCAACAAACAGCCAGGGAGGATTTAGTCAATCAGATACCAAAGTAGGTCACTGTGACCTGGTCAACAGACAGCCAGAGAGGATTTAGTCAATCAGATACCAAAGTAGGTCACTGTGACCTGGTCAACAAACAGCCAGGGAGGATTTAGTCAATCAGATACCAAAGTAGGTCACTGTGACCTGGTCAACAGACAGCCAGAGAGGATTTAGTCAATCAGATAACAAAGTAGGTCACTGTGACCTGGTCAACAGACAGCCAGAGAGGATTTAGTCAATCAGATACCAAAGTAGGTCACTGTGACCTGGTCAACAGACAGCCAGAGAGGATTTAGTCAATCAGATAACAAAGTAGGTCACTGTGACCTGGTCAACAGACAGTCAGAGAGGATTTAGTCAATCAGATACCAAAGTAGGTCACTGTGACCTGGTCAACAGACAGCCAGAGAGGATTTAGTCAATCAGATAACAAAGTAGGTCACTGTGACCTGGTCAACAGACAGCCAGGGAGGATTTAGTCAATCAGATACTGATTGCGCGACAGTCAGTGTATTACATATTTCATCATATACTTACAATATGCTAAAACAAGGTATTGATTAATTATTTTTTAGTGATATAATTAGATATCAACATTCGACCTGTATTAAATTACAATCTATCTTTTATGACTTTTTTATGGATTTAAAGTGCTATCCTGATTTCATCATGTCTGACTTCAAAGTCTTTTCTGATATCATAAGACAAGGTGTAGCAAAGCATACTCATGTCCCTTCATGGTTTGTCTAATTCCATCTTGAAAGGTAAAACCATTTGTTTAAAGAGAAGAAAAATGATATCACAATACCTCATTTTAAGAAATACAAGACTTTACATGGAGTCCTGGATGTTATTCAAGATAATCATAAACATCATTGTTCCAATACCAAAGGAAAAAATATTACTGTAAAGAGATTCTTATATACAGCACAATCACAGGCAAGCACTTTCTCTTTTTCGGATGAACTCAGAATGGCCAAACAGAATTGAAAAAAAGATTTTGTGCAGAAACCAATTTTTTATTTATAGTAACAATGACCTTGACCTAAGAGATCATCTGAAAAGTAATCATATCCAATGAATTTCTTTGAGGAAGTACTCTAGAGTTTGAGTGGAATATAACTTGGCAATCAGAACTTAACTGAAATAATGTGCAGAATGAAAAAAAGTGGAAAGCTTGATGTATGGACCTGTAGGAACACAACGTCCAATACTGATCTCTGAACAAAACTTCTATATTTATATTTCAACCTATTAAAATAAAAACAAACTGTTAACTTCAATAATATTTCTTCAAGATTTCTTAAAATAGCCAAGATCAAATACTGACACTTGGTAATGCATCTGTAGAGCTACTTAAGCTAGATACAGAAGTATGAAAGTTTCTATACTAACTATAGATCAGTTACCCTGTTTGTCTAGGAACTGTTTAATTTACTTTTGTGAAGTCAGACTGCTACATAAATGTAGATGCCAGGTGTTCATATGTAAACACACAAGAATGAAACGTTGAACAGGAACTGGTTTTCTAAACAGGAAATCCGCCCCTCTAGCAGTAACCTTGCCCTACAGTATGCACCTAACCCATGATTAATCATCAATCAAACATGCCTATGTCATTTCCAGTTTGGGATACAAATCAACTCTATCTGAACAATTTGATGTAAGAAAACAAAATATTGCTATCGAATATTCGCTAGGAAAGGATTGTAACCTGCCTCAGATTTTATATTCATAATCATTAATACATGTAAAATTGCTTTGTTAATTTCATTAACCTAAAGTTTACATTGAAATAACATATTCACTTCTATAGTACAACTCCTTATAATCTAAACAACATGCGTTAGGTATCAAAACACTCCACGATGTTGATAAGAAATATAATTTAAAACCTACACCCAGATTATATGTGGTTCCTGTAGAGTAAACATTACCGATTCCCTTGCTACATCAGCCTGGGAATGTGTGAACCTGTGGTAGTGGTACCAGAGATACCATAGCCTGACCCCCTGGGGAGTCTCGATAACTCCTCATCCCTAGAGTATAATGAGAGAGTGACCTCTCCTGCCCTACATGTCCCTGAGGAGAGATAGGTACTCTATCTAGGACTTTGCTCTGAAGATATTGGGGAAGGAAACAGATATAAAACTGACAGGCATCACATGTGGTAGTAAATTTCTGCTTCTTCTTGTGAATTTACGTCCATAGCATGTTATAAGCACAGTGATTACAATGGAATCTACTACAGAGCAGCTGTAATGCTGATTTCGGGTCACAGAGGTAATGTGTTATGAGACCAAAAAGTTCAACGATAAAGAACCAATTTTGAACAGAAGTCTTGGAGTTATTGCATTTATTGGAAATATATATCTAGCTATAGTTTATAAGAATAAAGCTGAGTCTAGTACAACATGTGTTGGCATGTGTAAGTAGCCTGTCAGTGTAGGTGATCAAGATGCGACTAGCTAGGTTTAGTACACTTAATCTAGGTGTATAATTGGCTCATGTATGAGGTAAGGCCTGGGTTCACTTTATGGCTTTAATGATAAGACATCTTGACAAATGGTTGATGAAGACCAGAAGGTCTAGGAACATCTTGGTATAATCACTTTAGCTGTGGAATATGATATACCTAAATGTTATCATTATCCCAACATAGTTAATTATCATCACCCAGAATACATCAGGTACATCAACACAGGTCATCATCGTGATTACATCAGGTACATCAACACAGGTCATCATCGTGATTACATCAGGTACATCAACACAGGTCATCATCCTGATTACATCAGGTACATCAACACAGGTCATCATCCTGATTACATCAGGTACATCAACACAAGTTATCATCCTGATTACATCAGGTACATCAACACAGATCATCATCCTGATTACATCAGGTACATCAACACAAGTTATCATCCTGATTACATCAGGTACATCAATACAGGTCATCATCATCGTGATTACATCAGGTACATCAACACAGGTCATCATCGTGATTACATCTGGTACATCAACACAGGTCATCATCCTTATTACATCAGGTACATCAACACAGGTCATCATCGTGATTACATCAGGTACATCAACACAGGTCATCATCCTTATTACATCAGGTACATCAACACAGGTCATCATCCTTATTACATCAGGTACATCAACACAGGTCATCATCGTGATTACATCAGGTACATCAACACAGGTCATCATCCTGATTACATCAGGTACATCAACACAGGTCATCATCATCCTTATTACATTAGGTACATCAACACAGGTCATCATCGTGATTACATCAGGTACATCAACACAGGTCATCATCCTTATTACATCTGGTACATCAACACAGGTCATCATCGTGATTACATCAGGTACATCAACACAGGTCATCATCCTGATTACATCAGGTACATCAACACACACCATCATCCTGATTACATCAGGTACATCAACACAGGTCATCATCGTGATTACATCTGGTACATCAACACAGGTCATCATCCTGATTACATCAGGTACATCAACACACACCATCATCCTGATTACATCAGGTACATCAACACAGGTCATCATCGTGATTACATCTGGTACATCAACACAGGTCATCATCCTTATTACATCAGGTACATCAACACAGGTCATCATCGTGATTACATCAGGTACATCAACACAGGTCATCATCGTGATTACATCAGGTACATAACACAGGTCATCATCGTGATTACATCAGGTACATCAACACAGGTCATCATCCTGATTACATCTGGTACATCAACACAGGTCATCATCGTGATTACATCAGGTACATCAACACAGGTCATCATCCTGATTACATCAGGTACATAACACAGGTCATCATCCTGATTACATCTGGTACATCAACACAGGTCATCATCCTTATTACATCAGGTACATCAACACAGGTCATCATCGTGATTACATCACGTACATCAGCACAGGTCATCATCGTGATTACATCAGGTACATAACACAGGTCATCATCGTGATTACATCAGGTACATCAACACAGGTCATCATCCTGATTACATCAGGTACATCAACACAGGTCATCATCCTGATTACATCAGGTACATAACACAGGTCATCATCCTGATTACATCACATCAACAGAGGCCATTGTCACCCAATACATCATATATATAAAGGTCATTGTCACCTTGATACATCACACATACAAAGGTCATTGTCACCTGGATACATCACACATACAGGTCATTGTCACCCTGATACATTACAAATACAAAGGTCATTGTCACCTGGATACATCACACATACAGGTCATTGTCACCTGGATACATCACACATACAGGTCATTGTCACCCCGATACATCACACACACAAAGGTCATTGTCACCCCGATACATCACACACACAAAGGTCATTGTCACCTGGATACATCACACATACAGGTCATTGTCACCCCGATACATCACACACACAAAGGTCATTGTCACCCGGATACATCACACACACAAAGGTCATTGTCACCTGGATACATCACACACACAAAGGTCATTGTCACCTGGATACATCACATATACAAAGGTCATTGTCACCCTGATACATCACACATACAGGTCATTGTCACCTGGATACATCACACACACAAAGCTCATTGTCACCTGGATACATCACACACACAAAGGTCATTGTCACCTGGATACATCACATATACAGGTCATTGTCACCTGGATACATCACACATACAGGTCATTGTCACCTGGATACATCACACATACAAAGGTCATTGTCACCTGGATACATCACACATACAAAGGTCATTGTCACCCAGATATATTACGCATACAGGTCATTGTCACCTGGATACATCACACATACAAAGGTCATTGTCACCTGGATACATCACAAACACAAAGGTCATTGTCACCTGGATACATCACACACACTAAGGTCATTGTCACCTGGATACATCACACATACAAAGGTCATTGTCACCTGGATACATCACACATACAAAGGTCATTGTCACCTGAATACATTACACATACAAAGGTTGTTGTCACCTGGATACATCACACATACAAAGGTTGTTGTCACCTGGATACATCACACATACAGAGGTTGTTGTCACCCTGAATACATCACTTACGTCACCACAGGTCACTATAAACTGAATTACATCAAGACATGATAGAAACTGGTCTAAACATGTGGTTTCAATCAGTCATATAGTGTTGATGTTACAGTTTACACTAAATTCTCATTCTGAACAGAGATAATTTAACCTTAGAAGATGAGATCCTTGTTAACAAGAATATCAAGGTTAACATAAGACATATCAATTATTGGACTTGACATTACAATAATGAGGCTCTCAGATAATGACAGTAAACTTTGACAGGACTTTTTGCTAAGTTTTATCAATGAAGTTTGATATTTGTCAACAGTTGTATCTAAGAAATAATTTTTGATATTTCAAATCATGTCAAATCTTCACAGCTTCTGACTATGTATTCTAGGAGAATTGGGATGAATGCATTACAAGAGATGATAATATACAGAAGAGAGTGCATATTAAAACGGACCTCCATATCACAGGGAGTGGGGATTTCTGTACTCCAGGGAAGTCAGGACTGAAATGTTTCCGGTTGTTGGGATTATGCACATTCTAGGGTTGGGACTTAAAGGGTGCTCAGGTAGGGACTTACGTATTCCACAGACTGGGAACTTACAACTGGAGGGTGGATCTCCTTGTTTTCCATCTGAACTGGGGTAGTTGTGGGTTTATCACTGGTGTACCGGCCTACCCCGGTCATGGAACTCACGCTGCTGGCAGGGGATGGTGATTCAGATTTGTCACCATTTGTAGTGCCATTACTGTTAGTTGGCGGTAATGTGGTGCTTCGGTCAGATAAGGGACTTGCTCGACTATCCACAACTTTTGGTTTTTCTGCTTCTTCTTTTCGAAAGCTTGATCGAAGAAGACGTGTCCGTTCTGCGACAGAGGGAGGTTTTTCAGGGAGAGGTGGGGCTGGGCCCCTTGAGCCAGTGGAAACAGGTGCTGGGGCGGGGTTTGTTGCTGTTGTAGATGCCATGTTGGTTAATCACGCTATCCAATGAAGACTTGATGTAACTTAAACAACACTTAATTGATATATTCCCACAACCTCAAACAGAAATGTTGCACACAGATGTTTTAGTATTCATAAATTCCAATTCGAATCACAGGAAATAGGAGGTGTTTTGCTGCCAGACAGAAGCAAAAAAAAAAAAGGCCCTCTGATATTTGGTGCCTGCAGCCACAACACTGAAACACTCAGCAAAAAAACACAAAACACTAATTAATCCTTCAAACTCAGTACTGTTCAAGCAATAATCCTGTGTAGACTAAACTCATCATTGCCATCAGAAAATGTATTCCTTCTACATCTGTTTACTTTGACAAAAACTTCCTCAAACTCCAACCAACATGGAGAAGGAGGCACACATATAGAATGTACTCAGTAATGCAAGTGCCAAATTCTTCAGCCAAGCCCAGGGTTGAAATTTAATCTCCTCCACCAAACACACACACAGTGCAACTTTCTCAGTCTGCCATCACTTTCCCTTTCTATGGTGTTAGCAGTCCACACAGATCATGGAGAGGTGGCTCAGGGCACTTTTACACTTAAAACTCCTTCAATGGACGGCCTGTTTGTTGGGTTGAAAAAATATTTCCGCTAGCTGGTTATGTTGCAGCAAGAAAACCCACTTTCCCCTGTGTATGTTAGAATTATGGTAGTATGTACAAGGTTAATCTGTTCTAGGCTATAATACACATAGGCTGAGGGCTTGGCTATACACAAGTTCATAGGACTGTTCACAGGGCCGGATGTACAAATATTGAAAAAGCTGGTCTTGGTTTTAGGGAGTGATGACCTTCATATTACACCCTGACATCCTCCTCCTCCAACGTAATGTGTAAGTTATGTCTGACTGTACAAACCCAATCTGATGTTAATTAAATATATCTCTAGCAGTCAACACTGGGATCCAAAGTATTTTTCCTGCTTCACAGTTTTACAACCAAATATTATCAAAATATTAATTATAACACAAATTTATCAGAGCCAGTTTCACTTATATTCAGCTGACACTATCGAAATGCCTCAATTAGCCAGCAATGGTCCTTAGCAAGTCAAGTGTAGAAATACAACACCTTCCTTCAAAAAATAAGACTGTGTAATGATTCTGTAAAATTTTCTGCAAGAAACATTTAGTAGTGAGGTATAATTCTATATTTTTTCATCAGTGTAACATCTTTTCCTTATTTCTCCTGAACTTTTATCAAACACTTCATCAGTGAATATGCCAGCTGTTCTACTTTATACCCTTAGGAAGTTTGTAAGATCTCTGTCTCTGATCTTACACAACAAACAGGGTACTGGTCTATGTAAATCCAGCTATACTAATGTAGATCTAAGAAGCTAGTATCTCCAAGGATATAAACCTCAAATCTGTTTAATAACTCAGGTCATATTCACTTCACCAATTAAGTTCCAGCCTCACTATCTCAGCAAATGTAGCATTCCACAATCCTACAGGCCACACAGTTGTTGGTTTTCAGATAATTTTCCTCCACAGTTCAATGCAGGTAACACAAACTTTTCCTTGTAGTAAAAATAGCATTCGAGATCATCTGTTTATCACTGTTTGGTAATCTGTCTTGTCACAAGTAGAAAAGGGAAATGAGAAAGTAATGTCATATTTCCTGCACAAACATAAAAAGTCTGGGTACTTTATGATCCATGTCTTCATACATTCCACAAATGACCTTTTTAGTCATAGATATACGAAATAAGTGTATAACATTTAAAGAACTGTACTAAAAACTTGCATCTATGATTGTAGCAAAATGGTGGGCTATTAAATATACGGAAAAACATGCAACATGAAGACAGAAACGCCAGCTCTTGTATCCTACTCCAGCCTTTATAGTCTGTACTGATGCAATATTTGAAGTGAAATTCCTGCCCCACCAATGATTTCCTATCTCTTGTTTATGTAAATGATCAAATTATTTTGTTGGCAGAAAATCAACTCATGAAATATTTGTAGAACTGAGGAGATATATGTGAAGTGGGGAAAATCCATGTTAATACATCTTGTTCATCATACTGCTGTAGTTCTGCACAGAAATCCTGACTGCTCAAAGTACTAGTCACCAGATAAAAAAGTAAGTACCAAGGAGAGTGTACCTGTCAGTTCATTGTCAGAACATGTATCTAATTATCAACAAATATTTATCTGGTACCTGCACATAGGTATATTACTTTACATTCACTTTACTTAGTGTAGCTCTGCACCTCCAAGGTCGTTCTGTCTAGTCACTTTACTTAGTGAAGCTCTACTCCTCCTGGGTCGTTCTGTTTAGTCGCTGTACTTTGTGTAGCTCTACTCCTCCAGGGTCGTTCTGTTTAGTCACGTAGCTCTACTCCTCCAGGGTCGTTCTGTTAAGTCACGTAGCTCTACTCCTCCAGGGTTTTTCTGTTTAGTCACGTAGCTCTACTCCTCCAGGGTCGTTCTGTTTAGTCACGTAGCTCTACTCCTCCAGGGTTTTTCTGTTTAGTCACATAGCTCTACTCCTCCAGGGTTGTTCTGTTTAGTCACGTAGCTCTACTCCTCCAGGGTCGCTCTGTTTAGTCACTTAGCTCTACTCCTCCTGGGTCGTTCTGTTTAGTCACGTAGCTCTACTCCTCCAGGGTCGTTCTGTTTAGTCACGTAGCTCTACTCCTCCAGGGTCGTTCTGTTTAGTCACTTAGCTCTACTCCTCCAGGGTCGCTCTGTTTACACGTAGCTCTACTCCTCCTGGGTCGTTCTGTTTAGTCACGTAGCTCTACTCCTCCAAGGTCGTTCTGTTTAGTCACGTAGCTCTACTCCTCCAGGGTCGTTCTGTTTAGTCACATAGCTCTACTCCTCCAGGGTCGTTCTGTTTAGTCACGTAGCTCTACTCCTCCTGGGTCGTTCTGTTTAGTCACGTAGCTCTACTCCTCCAAGGTCGTTCTGTTTAGTCACTTAGCTCTACTCCTCCAGGGTCGTTCTGTTTAGTCACGTAGCTCTACTCCTCCAGGGTCGTTCTGTTTAGTCACATTATTTTGTGTAGCTCTACTTCTCCAGTTTTGTTCTATACCTTGTCAGAATTATTCGATAACGTGTTCACAACAAGGCATCTTAAAGTCTCCTAGTCACAATGTACTCCATTAGGATACAACACTAACTTGTTCTACTTTTCTAGTGGAAGCTTTTTACACTGCCAGGCTAATTGTTTATTTAAACATCCACTCTGGCGGAGTCAAGGCTGACTTTATCAATACTGAATGATGATATGTAAAGCTCCAGGTCATATGTCACAGTCTTATTATAAATGTTTCTTAAGAATTTAACTACAGATATCGGAAGCGTTTTGTAAACATTCAGTCCTCAATTTACTTTAAAATCCAATTGTGAAATTAACAAGGGGACTATCCACATTGTTAGACCTCTTTGTCCCTACTACATGGCATTGTTAAGGTCCATGCTGCTACGTTTGGCAGATCACACAAGTTTTACACTGATAATATCAATCGCTCACATCAAAGCTTGAATCACTCGGTAAGTATTGATCGGTCTGTCTGACCATTGAATGCATACACACTGGCTTTATTTACGTTTTCCCCATTAAATTCATGGGTCTGAATCATTCCTCAGCCAGACAGATGGTTCGGTCACCACACTGCATCACCTGCCCAGGAGGCAATAGCCCAGCCCCTCATTTCCATAGTGTGACCATTATAATGAATATTAATGACAGAAAACCCACCAAGAAAATCTAATACTGTCAACAGAAATCTGTTCACAACAATTGGAATTCCAGAGATCAAATGTTTGATTTAATGATTTCAAATCCTAAATGGGAACAGTGATGTAAGTCAAGGTTATAAAAAATGCCTTTGTGCCTGAGGGAGAACACATTAATCTCTCCGAGATAAGACAGTATGTGTGAAGGACAAAGGTTAAAATGAACAATGGCATTATAGCCTGTTGTCAAAAGGTCATGATAATGTATAGTAGGTTATCCATCAAAAGGGGAGATAATCACATTGTCCCCAAGATACATATATTTTGTAAGTGCATATTGCTCCAATCATCCTTTCAAAAATCATTCAAGAAAATATCAACATGGCAACATAATCATAATTCAAACTCAAATACCATAAAACTAAGGCAAAATATGAACAAAAGAAAGATTTACATGGAGACTCCTAAAAAAGTATAAGCACAATAAGACGAGGTGTCTTTGAAAAACAAGCGTCTTTTGCTTCATCGACGACACCCACCATGTAAAACTTGGTCAATCCAAGTAAGTAATGTCACATTCTCAAATGAGAACAAAGTATAGAACAATGGAACCAACTTGCAAACTAACGAGTACCAAATATGTCCAGATTCATGTCACAAAGGAATAGAATATTTATAAATAAAATCACTATGGCGACCACCAAACTTCCCCATAATTTTCATCACTGCATCTTTTGAACCCTTGTGTTACAAGTTTGTCAGTCAGTGGACAACTTCTTGTACAAAACTTGTTATTATGGGAAAAAGCCCTTGAATATTGAATCAACTGTGCCATGTAAGTTCCATAGGTAGGAGATGCAATGCTATTACTAGCCAGAAATGGAAAATTCATGATAGAAGAATTGAAATCATTATGTTTATCATACAGCTTGATTGGAGGCTGTTCATGTTGGTTTCGTTGTAAGAAACGATTGAGATAAGCAGCTGATGTAGAAGAGTCTGTCATATGTTTGATTTTCTTTTCTGGTGGATACACATGACAAACGTAGTCAAGAAATTTCTTGTTATTTATAGACAAGACCTCATCAACATATCTGAAGGTAAAATTAAATGACTTTACAAGGTGATCTGTTTTGATAAGCTTTTCAATAAATTCAGCCTCGTATGAAAACAAAAACAAGTCAGCCAACAAAGGGGCACAGTTGGTTCCCATAGGTATGTCAATATTCTGTTGGAAGATCTTAACACCAAACACAATGAAGATGTTTTCAACAAGAAACTCTGTCATTTTTATGAATTCGTCCTCCGCATACCTCTTCTTTGATTTGGACGTAATTTTTACGAAATACAATTCAGTAGTTCACAGCCATATATTTGTACCACCATTCAGCTTTCTTGGAGAAGAGAGCTCTCATAACAAGAGAACAAAGGCATTCTTTCAGTTTAGAGTGGGGAACAGAGGTGTACGGGTTGGAAAAATCAAATGTTCTTATAGAAGAAATCTTATTTAGAAGATGACAACAAAATAATCCAAGGCACTGAAAACATATAGAAGTCTCTGCAATACTTTTTTCTATATTATGGACCCTGAAAGGAGGACAAGGGACACTTCATGGGAACAAGAATTGCCAAACTGGGTGGCGTCAGATATAGAAGTGAAGGTTGGGGAGTCTGTTAATGAGCTAAAATTTTGTGTCAATCACCATATTGCTATGCGGCAAATGTATCAGTTGATATAAAACATATCATTGTTTTTCTGTATGTACAGGATGGCAATTATGTAACTTTCTGATAGGTTTCTGAGAAGGAAATAGTTTTTTTCCTTGTTTTAGTATAGTTTTCATATTTCTGATAAAAAAATAAATTGACTTGATGTAAAGATATGTGTGTGGAGGTATTTACCTGTAACCATCTGTCTAATAGTCACATTTATCATACAAATTACCTTGCTATACCTTATATATACACAGGACATGAGTAAGCAACATACCTCCAACATGAACCAAGCACCAGGTCAACATTCCAAGGTATGGCACAGCTTTCTGTTACATATATCAAGGTGCCACACAAAATCAAACCTATGGTGGATATATGCAAGTGTAAATATAATGTATAAATATAAAATTGATAAATAAATCTTATTTGTATTTAAAGCATGATGACTGGATCCCCAGTTATTTTGATATGATGTATCTGAGTTGTGTGACCTGAATGTCATTGTATCCAGAAAGGTAG